GGGGGGGGGGGGGGGGGGAGCTGCGACAAAAAATGCAAAATTTACAGACATACATCATCTAATTCGACACTTTGTCATCCTTGTTCAAGCACCCCTAACTGCGAATATGCGAATGCATGCGAATCTAATGTTACATTTGCTACGTACATTTCAGTACGCAAATATATATGCCAATTGGTTGCGAATTTAAAAGTGACAATCTTTGTCTTTGCAGCATATGCGAATGCATGCGAATCTAGTGTTACATTTGCTACGTACATTTCAGTACGCAAATGTATATGCCAATTTGTTGCGAATTTATTTCTTGTTTATCACCCAACTCTCAAGGTTATGAATCCCGCATGCTGCAAGGTAATATATGGCATCTATCGGTGCATCTATACACGCTAGCGGCCAATAGTCCATTGACGGTTTAGGGGCCAATAAACCGCTAGACCATTGCCAGGTTTTACAGATTTAAAATCTTTTTTTTTCTATGAAGATCCATATATATTTGACCCCATATAGGTTATTAATGTTTTGAAAATTGCTAATAGTATACTTCAAAATAAGGTTTCCGTTTTTATATCAATTTTTGAATAAGTTAGGTTAGGTTATGGTTAGGGTTAGGTTAGGGTTGTGGTTTGGGTTAGAGTTATTATTAGGGTTAGGGTTTAGTTTTGCGTTAGAATGGTCTTTTCTACGTTATAAAAACGGAAACCTTATTTTGATGTATACTTTCTAGCGATCACCTTAATGTTTTAGCCCTGGTTCACATATGCTTGCGGCATGCCTGCGACTGTATCATTATGCCTCTACTTGCCGCCGAAATACCGGCAAAGTTGAACTCAAGTCAATTTTCCCGGCCTACTGCCGATGTAACTGTGACACTGGAGACAATCGGCGAACAAATGTTCACATAATTTACGTTTTAAAGCTACCATCGGCATCGTCGTCGGTACATCGCAGGCATATATGTGAACCAGGCTTTATATGTAGCTATAAATTACAATAATTATTACATTTGAAAGATATACCGTAAACCGCCGACTATAGCCCCCCCCCATGCCCCGAATATAAGCCCTCCCCCATGTATAAGCCCACCACCACATGTACAAACGCTCACCTCATTCCAAATATAAGCCCCCTCCCCCCTCCCCGAATATAAGCCCACCCGAATATGTAAGTCCCCCCAATTAATGTAAACCCAGTAATCGCTGCTTAATACACGTTTATTTCCCTGTTTATGACTGACTTGTTTATTACTAATACAAAAGATCGTCTATGTATAAGCCCACCCGTATATAAGCCCCCCCTTGTATATAAGTCCATCAAAAATCGCTTACGAAAGTATATAAGCCCTCGGCTTATAGTTGGAGATTTACGGTACTGTAATTCTTGACGTGACTGCCACGTTTACACGCCGATTGTACAGGCCGTTACTAGAAAGGAAACATTTCCGCAAAGATTTTCTTGGACATATGCATGCACGGTTGTGTATTTAATTTTTCACCCCGTGTGACAATCCTTGTATTTGCACTAGTGCGAATGAATGCGAATCTAGTGTTATATTTGCTACGTACATTTCAGTGCGCAAATGGATATGCCAATATGTTGCGAATTTACAAGTGACAATCTTTGTCTTTGCACTAATGCGAATGCATTCGAATCTAGTGTTATATTTGCTACGTACATTTCAGTGCGCAAATGTATATGCCAATTTGTTGCAAATTTACAAATGACAATCTTTGTCTTTGCACTAATGTGAATGCATTCGAATCTAGTGTTATATTTGCTACGTACATTTCAGTACGCAAATGTATATGCCAATTTGTTGCGAATTTATTTCTTGTTTGTCAGTCAAGTTTATGAATGTTATAAAACATAACGACGATTTTACTTATATATAAGCCCATTATATTGTCGGGTTTATTTTCCTAATTTAAAATCGTTTTAGATTTCTATGATGACCAAGGGCAAAGCCGCCAAGATATTAATGGGGTCACGGGCAATATATATATATATATGTTATTTACCGGATTGGAGGTCCGTATAGAGAAATATTTCTCGAGGTCTTAAAAACGGCCCGAGGCCGAAGGCCGAGGGACGTTTTTTAAGACCGAGAGAAATATTTCTCTATACGGACCGACCATACCGGTAAATAATATTTTTTTTTTAATTCCTTCTCTGGATTTCCCCAATCACTCCTCCCGCACGCGAATGAAGCTGCCAAATAAAACGTCGTTTCTATATCAATGCTATCGGGAAGAAAAATATCTTTTGTGAGATAGTAAAATTTGTTTTCACTGTGTTTTTCATCGTCTGCAGGCATTTTAATGTTTTAAAAAGTAGCCTTTAAACTCGTTTTTAAATTTTGAAAAATAAAAACATTGGCTCTACGGCTTTAAATCTCGCGCGGTCCGTACGGGCTCATACGGACCGCTCACGTAGCCAATCAGATTGCAGAAAAGCGTAAAATATGACTTCGGACCGCCAGAAAAAAAATAAAAGTAGTTAAGGCCCTCGAGAAAACGGCACAGATGATTAAAAAAGGTTCAGACACACCGGACGCGATTCGACAACGTGACGTGATTTTAGTTTTTGAAACTTAATAAAACAGTCGATGAGAACAAATTTTGAATGATATGTAGACCAAATAACTCCAAATGTTATAGCGCGTCTAAATATTTGGAAAATTTAAACTATAGGATCAAAGTTATTGGTCCGTGAAAATCAAAAAATTGCGTCGGTTGGCGAATCGCGTCCGGTGAGCAGCTGCATTTGAGGTTGCTGCGCTCAAGCCCGACAAGAGCACCGAGACTATATTATAATTGCCTCCCTCATCTGGCACGGTCGCCGTCTGTACATATTTGCCATGCCGAGTTTGTCCCGCAAAAATATTCTACGTTATTTCGAACCTCTAGTAAGCTATAGTTTTGACCGCCTTAAGATTTAAATTTCTCTGACTGATTGAAGGACAATATATAGCACTTATATTGCTTTCTTATAAGAATATCTTTTGAAAATATTCTTATGTTTTTAAAATTTAACTGTATAAATATGTTTGCAGAATTGAAAATGTCCCCAGAGCCGTTTCCATTCAAAGACAAACAGTTTTACAACCAAAAATAAAGTAAAATCTGTTTACTATATTTGCTTCATCTTTGCAGATAGGTGCAAAGTTATTGCAAATTCTTTTATACATTTGCACTTCTGCAAAGATGTTGGCAAATATGAAGTAAATATAGTGTGTTGCAAAGATAAATTCGTAACGGTTGCCAATTTAGTAAACTGAATTTGTACCACATTTGCCGCTGTTGCAAATTCGGTGCGAATCCAACTTTTCATCCCGTGCTATGAAGACAAGATTTTTACCCAGTGAGAATGAAATATATTTTTCCATATTATTTGGGATCACGTTAATGTTCATCTTGAACTTACCAATTTCCTGCATAATTAGATGACTATCGTAACCTCTCAGATTGTGGAAGACCACAGGTACTTTCCATGTAATTCTGTATTTTAGGTTGCATATATTATGAGCAGCTCCACGGTACATTCCTGTTACATGATCATGGTCCCTTACTCTGTCCTCACCAAGATCGTTACCACATATTGAACAGTTTCTTGCCTTCCAGAACTCAGCTTCTTCTTCAGGTGTAATTACCATCTTTTTCTTGAATATATTGTTAACCATCTCTCTACATCTGAAGGACTCTTTCAATACAGTCTTCAGGAATACCAGTGCAGCATCCTCTCCAACGTAACTCTTATACTCACCAGAGTACTTATCATCATAATGGCAGACAGTCTTTAGACCAAAACTACAAGCCTTGTGTGTCTGGTAAAGGTCTGTACTACTTTTGTCCTCAGGGTTTTCTGACTCCACTTTTCTCTCCTCTGGTACCAGTATTGACTCAAAATCAGCGTATATCACGAACGGTACAGGCATCGAGTTCCTGTGATTTTTGAACTTTATTTTAGTACCTTCCTTGGGAAGCTTTACAGCCTGAGTTCCATTTACCTCCAGACATGTCTCCTTATGTTTTTCCAGTGACTCTTTACTCACACAACTATGAAGACAGTGTAAACAAAAGTGTTTCTTGTGTGTGTATCCACTTACGCTGAAAAGCATTCTATTCACATCCTTTATGAGCACATAGTGGTTGTTACCTTCACCGTTACCTAGCAGCAGCAACTCCATATGCTCATCGTATTTAGCCTTTGAGTTTCTTATAGGATAGAACTGTTTTTTACCCTTATAACCGAACACTGATATGTTTACACTGTTTTTCCTCTCAATTTTATCAATATCACTTACCTTCACAGGGAATTCTATATCCTTATAATCCAGGTTGTCTACGAACTCCCTATCCTTCCGTGTAATAGTAGTTGCTCTTCTAGCTTTAGGTCTTAGATGTCTCACATGACTCCACAGAAAACACATATTGTCGTTGTTCTTCATATTGATTAGCCCACACTTTGGATTACTAATGTCCCCAGGTAGTTTCATATATGAACTACCCTTCAGAGGTTTGTACATTGCAATGTTCACGTAATGGCTCTCAATATTGAGAATAATCCAATTTTAACCTAAGTTTTGGATTGTTTCAATTCTAGACAATATTGTCAGTTGGTTTTGAGCAGCTGTACTTTCAATATCCTCGAAGTTAGTTGCAGTGCCAGTTTTAGACTTGAAGTAGATTGAGTCCTTCTTTGTTTTACCGTTACCTATCTCCTTCGACATTCTCACCTTTATTGTCTCCGTGTACTTCAACCCTCCCATTCTCTTCAATTCGTTCACAAGTATTCCTCTCACTACCTGTCTACTTGCAGTTAACAGATTCAGGGGGTCCATATAATGAGGAGTTATTGAGTAAGTTACAGCAGCTCCATTTGCGGCTGTTTCAATTTTTCTGTGGAATGGCTTTTCAAGGTAAGTTCCAAATGGGTCTATTTCGTGTTCCTCTGGTGTAACCACTATAGGCTGCTCCTTGACTTCCCTTGACACCTTTACAGGCTTACGGACCTTAGGAGGAGACACTGGTTTCCTAGTTCTAGGTTTCGGTACAGGTCTTTCCTTGGGAAGTACCGTTCTGGGTTTCGGTACAGGTCTTTCCTTAGGAGGAAGTCTAGTTCTAGGTTTAGGTGTCGGTCTCCATGGAGCTACACCCTTAGGCACTTCAGGAGCTTTCCTTGTGGGTTTCTTATTAAGATCCACACTGATCGTAAACTTACCTGGACCTGTTGGAGTTATAATACTGTTTGCAGGCACCGAGAGTTTTATCCTATTTTGACTCAGGAATCTTTCCGCAACAGTTTGCCTTCTAACCTTAGGCTTTTGTTGTATAACATCAACCTTAGGCTTTGGTGGTCTACCTCTCCTTTTAGGAACCTTAACTTCACCATCAACCTTAGGCTTTGGTGGTCTACCTCTCCTTTTAGGAACCTTAACTTCACCATCAACCTTAGGCTTTGGTGGTCTACCTCTGGGACGCTTAGGATTCCTCTCGTTTTCGATTCTCCTAATTTCCGCATTCACCTGAGGATCATCTGTGCGCCATCTACCTCCCATTGTTGGTGGTAACCCCTCAACTCCCCTTTTTAGTAGATTCTGGTATGCCTCCTCTACAAGTAGGGCCTTAGCCTTTTGTCTTTCAGAGTACTTCCATGTTGGCATAATTCCTCTTCTACCCTTATAGTTCAAAGGAAGACGTCTTGGTTTCTTTACCTCCATATCACGGTCAACTTCATCTACAAATTGTCTTTCTCCTTCAAGGGGATCTTTGCCCTTATCACTAGGTGCAATCCTGTAGGTTTTGTCCTCCATGATGTTCTCTACTCTTTCATCAATCTCGTTATCACTGTCTATGATACTATTGAGAGCCATAAGCTGTTCTACGCTGAATTCGTTCATGTCAAAATAACTCGCCATATTTTTCAACTGTTCCTCTATACTATATATGTAAAAATAAATTGGGGTATTTATTTCGAATTTATTTTTAATTTATTCTTTAGATTAATTTATTATATTAATATTTCTTTAAGTCTTTTATTTAATTTATTATATAAATATTTCTTTAAGTATTTTTATTTAATTTATTATATAAATATTTCTTTAAGTATTTTATTTAATTTATTATATTAATATTTCTTTAAGTATTTTATTTAATTTATTATATTAATATTTCTTTAAGTCTTTTATTTAATTTATTATATTAATATTTCTTTAAGTATTTTATTTAGTTTATTGTATTAATATTTCTTTAAGTATTTTATTTAATTTATTATATTAATATTTCTTTAAGTGTTTTTACTTTTCCAGTTATCATAATATTTACACTTCTCAGGTTTCCATCCAAGCTCAACAAAAACTTTCCCATACAACCTATCCTCAAGTATGTCCACAATCCTTTGAGTCTTAATGTCCTCGGGAGGGTTTCTCAAGGTGATACCATTCATGCTGGCTATCCTCAGCAGGTAAAACTTATATCTAACTATGTTGCGCCCCCTTTGCAGTCTAAGTCTTTGTATACATCTTGCAATGCTTCTAAACTGCTCCCTTACGGTGTCCCTATCCCTGGAAGCAACATGTTCGAATAAGTGTCTCTCAAACCAACGGACTCTGTTGTGGCAAGACTTCTTTTTCAGGTAGTCATCCTTGTTGTAGTTGTAACTAACGTAGTATGAGAAGTTATTCATATCACTTGTTCCACACTGTGTGCATGTATCTGCTCAATCTATCATTACAATAGACTTACTTCCACATTCGCTACATACTGGATCATATGTGTGTTTTATCTTTATTCTACTCTCTGCGTGCTTTCTCACAGCAGCCTCTAGCTCTTCCACTGTATTTACCCTTTTACCTACATGTGCTATCTCCTCGGGTGTTGCCATCTGTAACCATTCCATTTCCCTATACTATATATGTGAAAATTTTTGTGGCATTTTTTATAGCATTAAATAAGCTGCCCCTCCAACCACCCCACCTGTAATTAAACCAAAGATTGTCATATATTCTTCCATCTCAGAGCTAGGTTTGTAGTGATTACTTAATTGCGGCTTCCTTGGCATAGGCTTACGTGTTAACTCATTGATTCTTCTAACGAGTTCCAGCGACTTATTCGTTGAATTAATATCCTTATTTGCCTCAGCTAGTTCTGACTTTAGTTGGGCAATTCTATTTCTTCTATCAGTGACTTCTTCAAGGTACTTCTCTCTTTCAGCTGTTAGGTTCTCCATTGCAAGGTTATGTCTATGAGCTTCCTTAGCATATCCATTCTTGTCAAACATTTTAAATAGGTATCCTGCTCCCGCAAATGCAAATGCATTAAAGAGTCCTCCTGCTACTGCTCCCGCCATTGTATAGTTTTACCTAGGTTTTGAATGGATCATCTGGTAGATACTTCTTTTCTTTCAAGTAAGAGACCAGTAGAGATGAAAGACTAACTGAAATAGCTAACTTCGCCATTCCTTTTACATTTTCTGGGGTACCCAACGGTTCTTTCAATAGTTTCTTTGATGCCATTGATATACCAACTGCTCCTGCTGTAAGTAACACTGCGTTGTACACTTCCATAGTCATCTTTGATTCTTTACTCATCTTGCTATAATATATGGTATGTTTAATGTATCATTCAAGTGAATCTAACTTGGACTCATCAGCTTTCCTAGTTACTTCTACAGTTTCAGGGATGAACTCAGGTTCTAGTTCCCTAGTTTCCCTCTGGTGTGACTTATATGCCAGCACTAGAGATACCAGTGCAATGGCCACTCCTATGTAGGTAATCATACTGTCATTACTAGGTGACTCGTTGGATTCCACCTGTTTCTTTTTCCTCTCCTTTGCTATTTTACTGATTGCAGCTAATCGTTTTCCTGCAGCTACTCTTCTTGGGTCCTTCTTCTTTTCGCTTGTTACTGGTACTTGAATTTGCTCAGGTTTATCTTCCATTCTACTTGTAAGATACCTTAGGTTTAACTGGGTTTTATCTTACGAGACATCTTGAATTCTACTTGTGAGATAACTTAAATTTACTTGTAAGATGTCTCAATTCTACTTGCAAGATAACTTAAATCTACTGGTGAGATAACTGGTGAGATAACTTAAATTTACTGGTGAGATGTCTCAAATCTACTTGGCACTAAACTAGTACTTGTGTGATTTGAACCTTGGCTTGTGCAGCTTTACATCGCAAACTGTATTTTTCGCTGCAACTTTCCTTACCCTTTTCCTAAGTGAAAAGTACTCGTTAATTCTAATACAAGTTTTCACTAGATCATCCGATATCATTGTTGCGTATCCTATTCCCCTCAGTCTTTCAAGCCATATCTCTTGCTTCTCACTTGTAATTCCGGTGCCCTTAGGAGACTTAAATTCAATTGCGAATCCTCTGTACTTTCCCATAGGATTCTCTATGATAAGATCTGGCTGGCCGCCTTTATATCCCTTCTTCCAGGCATCACATCTTTTTGACACCGTATCCTGATACTCACCAAGACCAGGTACTATTACAGCCTCTGGGTGGTTATCTCTGATATAACTCACAACTGTATTATGAAGGTCCGTTTCGTTTATGAGAATCATTTGGTTGTGTCTGAGTGACCTTCTATCTGGTAATTCATATAAGCCTGTTTTACGGATAGATGGAAGGATTTCCTTAAATACCCAATCCTGAAAGTCCTCCGCTATTGGAAGCCTTGAGGTACATATTAGTTGATACAAACCAGGTTCATATAGCAGGATCATTTGTGGGTGACATTTTTTGAAGGGAGGCGATTTGTCTCCCTTGCGTAGCTCGTATACGCTTACCTTATTTTGCTTCCTAACAAGTTTCTGGACTGCCCTCTTCGTATCAGCGTACCCTAAGGACTCTGCCACGTCTTTTGCATAGAAGAGTACCTCACCGCCCCACCTCACGGTTCTTACACTAACATTCAACTCCTGGTTTCTGAATAGTTTTTCCATCTTTCCCTATACTATATATGCAAAAATTTTTATGGCTATTTTATTTTGATTTATGGAGTAGTATTCCCTCTACCCACCCAACTACTCCTCGTTAATGTTTGCTTCCTGGTTTAAAAATATTACATTTCATATAGTTTCTTGTATATCTTTACAACTGTTTTAACCATATCATCTTTGAACGTCTGGTAGTCATGCTGGAGCGGCCCCATAACTTTGTCCTTGAGGGAGTACAGGTCCTTCTCTATAGAGTCCAGTGTTGCCTTGTTCTTCTTGAGTAAGCTTTCTGTTGAATCAAGTGCTGCCTGAATTTCATCTACCTGCTCCTTGTTCCCGTCGGTCTTCTCAATTAACTCGTTAATTATGTCTTCAAACTCTGTTCCGTCCCAGGCGTTTCCCCAGTCGTAGGGCTCTCCGAGTTGCGACATTCTTCTGTATTTAATAAGATATGTTTAGCTTCCTCGGATATTTCCTCCTTCTTATTCCACTTATGGGCAACTACATGTTTAGCTGTTGTACAGCCACCGGATATAAGCCCTATGAATGGGATGTTGGGGGATATCGTTCTGGTTAGATACGCTACGTCGTCCTTCAGAAGCTTGTCACTAAGTAGTTCCTCTGACAGTTTCTCTGAAGATTCCACTGCACCGAAACTTCCTAATACAGAAGCAAACTTTGAAATAATAAGCGTTGATAAGAAGTCGCTTGCACATGACATCCTCTGACTTTCGTACTCATGGTATAGTCTATCTACAACATCCTTGTTAGACTTTCTTATAAAACTTGCGGACTTCTCTATTATACCATCCCTCGACAGTTCTATAAGTTTGTCCCTTTTGTGTTCAGTTTGCGACTTATCTGCGGTAGACTTAGTTTTTCTTGCTTTTTTCTGCGGCACCTTTGCGGCCTCCTTTACTTCTCTTACAGCCTCAAATATTTCTTCATCAGATTCAGTTCCCATCATCTATATTTTACGCGGTGTTTAGTTTAACAGTGTATGTGTAAGGGTGAATAAGTAGTACGTCCAGTGCGGTGAACTTCTCATCTTTTAATATCTTCGTAATCTCTGTAATTGTCTCCTGGGGAACACCACTTAGGTAGTCATCTGTTATAACCTTCATATGTCTGCGACTAGGGTTGTAGAATGTAACTAACCTGGAAATGTTCTCTCTGAATGGTTTTGCTACTGAGGACAATTGTTGGGTAAGTACAATAACAGATAGGTTGTAATGTCTTGCCGAGAATGCTAGGCGCACCAGTTCTGAGACTCTTTTCTTTACATCTTGACTTGCCGCACAATCGTCCACTTTAATGAGAGTCTGAGTACCGCGGAATATGGTGGACACTGCCTTGAGAACAAGATCGATCATTTCTTGTGAGCATGGAATTTGTATAACTCCATGGTCACTAATATGAGTCCAATTAATGTAAGTCATATTCCACTCTATGGTTGGACATATAATGACAATGTAATCGAATACTCTATTGTACTCCGTTTCTAACATATTAAGTAGGAACTGAGTCTTTCCACTTCCAGTCATTCCTACTATCAGCATGTTGAATGGTTGCATCTCTATGCTTTACCATTAGTATTGAATACTTGATAGATCTCTATTAGCAAAGTTAAGGAGAGCATCTGATACAATAAAAATGTTGCATTGAACGTCAGCTGTTGTGGCTCTCTTTTTGATTTCTAGGAGTACTCCCGACTGTGTGTTAACAATCTTCTTACCTCCACCAGTGGTCTCATCTTGTGTTGACCTTAGGTCGATTACTAGAGCAAAACCATTGGTGAAGAACTTGCTGATGGACATAAATTCGTCTGCCATGGATTTCTCACACATAGGGCAGAAGAATCTTTTTGCCTCTTCGAAGAACCTATTTTTGGGAAGTCCTTGGGAGAAAACTGCATTAGGCACACCCTCAATGGTCAGGTTCACTTTATCAATATTTGGGTAAATATACTC